TTTAAAACATGTTTCTTTCTTTTCATATCCAGAGAAATATTCTGCCTTTTCAATATTTCCTAGGATATTTTATTTTTCTGGGAGAGGGCTGGGTGGTAACTTCCTACAACACCCCTGTTGCAGGTGAAATTAGATGAAGTTCTATCTACAGCTCCTTAAGCTGTTATATGAAAGTCAGGATAAAAATCTAATTAATTAATTAAAGGTAGTTACAATAGTGTGCAGCACAATGGCTCAGTGGTGAAGACATTGAGCTTGTCAACTGAAAAGCCGATAGCCTGGTTCAAGACCCAAGTGCCACATGATCTCCCGTTCTCACCCAAGCTCCTGCCAACATAGCAGTTTGAAAGCATGTAAATGCGAGTAGATAGGGAATGGAAAAACTTGCCATGGCCAACTCACCATAGGACGACTCTCTGCAGGACAATTTAACAATTTGATTTAATTATTTAATATAAATTTAAAAATTAATTTTTGCCATTCACATTTCATTCTCTCCCTCCTCTTGCATCCTTTATTTAACAATCCTATTCAACAATTTATTTGATATTAGTGTAACTATTGTCCTGCAGCAAGTTGTCCTGTGGCAAGTTGGCCGTGGCAGGTTGTCCCACAATGAGTTGGCTGTGCAAGTTGGTTGTGGTGAACTGTCATAGAACCGAATAGATAAATAGATACCACTTGGGCAGGAAAGGTTAATGTTTTTTGTACTTTCATGCTGTCCACATAATGACAGAAGCATCTTTCAGACAACGCAGGATTCCTAGGCTGTGTATCGGAGATGAACACCACTCAATGGAGTGGGTCAAGACTGAACAAGAGAAACCTTTAAAATTACAATAGTGAGGATAATCAAGGAGAGAAGCAATTAATCAAGGAGAGAAGCAACTTAGAACTAAGGAAAAAATTTCTGACTGTTAGAACAATTAATCAGTGTAACAACTTGCCTCCAGGGGTTGTGAATGCTCCAACATGGAAGTTTTAAAGAAGAGATTGGACAACCATTTGTCTGAAGTGGTGTAGGGTTTCCTGCCTAAGCAGCAGGGGTGGGTTTCAGGCGGTTCGCGGCGGTCCCCGCGAACNCCGACTAGTAATCAATGCCAAATCTGGCGAAACAACTGGCCGCTGTGATACAATTGTATAATAATAATAACAATAATAATAATATAGTGTTTTGCTATATTATTGCTACATAATGGTTTTGATCTCTCTCCTGAAAAAAAAATCAATTCAGGCATCTGTACTAGTTTCCTTACAATTACAATTACTGTGTATACACCATCATCACATCACAACATCTTTTGAATCCTTATAGCTGGGGGTATGAATGGTATAGTCTGCACTTAGTCCACAAAACAGTGAACCACTTTCTTTTCCAGAAGATTACTCCCAGGAATACGTAGTCTCAGAATACTTGAAATTTACTTTTTTCTAGGAACACCACTATATGGAAACAGAATGTGCTGTATTGCACATGTTATACTTTACACATTGCTCCTCAAAGCCTTTGGTTGCTCATTTTTGCAACTTTTATTGTCTTTGCTCTTCCAATTTGCTATATTTTGAGTTCTCATTTTGCAAGACCTCAGTATTTTGAAGGCAGTTTTCTGTTTCTAATCATTCCTCTAATATTGCTGATAGTGGTATTTTTTTGAATCATGAGCCAGTGTCTTGAATCATTCCAAGATGCTGGCTCAAGCCTATTTAATAGGCTATTAATTAAGGCTAATTAATTAATTTTTAAATTAGTCTACTGTAATGCATGCTATGCAGATCTGCATTTGATAAGTGTTCAACATATACATCAGGGGTGGGTTCCTGCCAGTTCTAACCTCTTCTATAGAGGAGGTTCCACAAATCTACCGTGCCGTTTAGAACTGGTTCCAGCTCCCTCCCCCTGCCCGCCGGCACCACGCTTGCCCCGCCCATGGCTCACTGATTGGCTGGCTCACCAATCACCCCACCCGCCTTTAAGAGTCCTATCTAAACCTTAAAGTCTTACAGCTGTCAAGTTTGAACATCCCTGGGCTTTTTTTTCTAAAGGGTTAGGGGTGGAAGGGTCTTGTAACTTGACAGCTTTAAGACTTGCACACTTCAATGCCAGAGTTCCTGAGCCAACACGACTGGAGGANTGAGATTTGAACCGCTGAACTGCTGATCTAGCAGTAGCCTGCAGTGCTGCATTTAACCACTGCGCCACCTTGTCAAATATTAGACAATACCATGCTAACTTGTCAATCTAGGGGGTGGGAAATCTTCCTAAAAATTTTGTTTTTAAGCTTCTGTTTCCCTTCATACCCCCAAATCTTGTATTTTTTTCCTCTGAATATTGATATCTCTGGCACTTCAGAGACTTTGCAGGACTGTGTTTACTCAATAAAACAGACTGAAATGCACTGTATAAATTGTTAGGCAGTGAACTTTCTTTGGAAGAATTGAAGAAACAACGAATAGGGAGTGATAATGAGCCAGGATAAATTCTTGATGCACTTGATATAAATGTCAATTGCTTTTTTAATTTATTATTCAGCTTCTTATAAATTTGAAAATTAAACCCATACAAAACAAGGGTGGAAATAACAATTTTAAAATGTTTGTAGCTACAGCTGTTGGAGACCACATGCTACAGTATAGTTCATGCAGATGTAGCCCTTTATGTATAGATGCAGAAATTTAGATTTCTTGAAATTAATATTGAATTTTCTTTGCAACCAGGGACATCCAGCTCGGTTCCTGCCTGTCACAGAACTGTTGAGACAAGCACAGGTTCAGAATTCTGTTTCTGCTCTTTGGTAAGTACCAGTAGAACTTATATGATGGTCTCATGACACAATTAGTAGATCCCATTGTTTCAACTGTTAAAGAGAGTGTGGGTTTCGTTAGCATGTGAAAAGTGGAAGTAGAATACAGTACTGGCTTTAGTTCTTTAAAAAAAATTAAAAAAAATAATTACAGTCTTTTTGGACTAAAAGACCCACCAGTTGCGCACCAAGATTTCAAAGAGGTAAGTAAGAAAAAAAAAGTTTTTGTTATTCCCAGCCCCCAGGAGCACTCTGCAGGCTTTTTCCGAAAAATGGGTAGAAAGGGGGACTTTTTCACAAAAACAGGGGCATTTCTTGCCTTCCCCCAGCCCTGCTGAAGCCTGCAGAGTGCTCCTGGGGGCTGAGAGAAGGCAAAAATGGCTGTATTTGGTGTATAAGATGCACCAACATTTCCACACTCTTTTTTGGGGGGGGGAGGTGCATCTTATACTCCGAAAAATACGGTAAAATGCTTTCTCACTGAGCAGTTGCCTCTTATTTAATTATTTTACTAAGATCTAGCAATAGGGGGGGCCACTTCAGCCAAGGTGGTAGTAGGACTGCCTGAAGAAGTCTAGCCAACATGGATTGAATTCAGAGAAGGTAGAGCTCATGCTGGTAAGACCCCTGCCTCACTTCCTGAGATTACAACAAGGTCAAGAGAATCTGTACTGTGTTTCCCCAAAAATAAGACATGGTCTTATTTTCTTTTGACCCCTGAAATAAGCATTTGGCCTTATTTTCAGGGAGGTCTTATTATTTTTGAGGTGCAGGAGGAGGCGAGTGTGGTCACCTCATGGCTACTGCTGTGTTGCAATATTTTGGGGGGAAGGCTTATTTGGGGGGGAGGGCTAAAGCGCATGGGCTCAAAAGCCCAATTGGGCTTATTATCCAGGGAGGTCTTATTTTCGGGGAAACAGGGTAGTTACTTTGCAAGTCATTGCCCTGATATCTTTCTTGCTTCTGCCAACATGGAATGTAACTCAGCATGAATACAAGTGATCTAGGCTGTAAAATAGTTTGCAACCATATCTGAATAGCCTTAAGGAAGGTTGTTCTGCCCTCCTTTCTCAATAAGATAAGGGCCAAAAGGCAAGCATGCTTTGTCTTTAGTGTTAAAGGTAGCATGACCATGTTTGGAGGATAGATAGTTTCTGTGCAAAGTTCTTATCATTAATTTGGCTCTCTGTCTGCAAAGGGAATCAGAAGGAGGGGAAGGGAGAAGGGACTGAAGGGCGGGGTGGGGGGGGGGGTGGGGGGAGGAAGTAACTTCAAAACTGATGGAAGAGATTTACAAACACTAAACACAATTAAGATTTGGAGGTCAAGGGGAGCAATGTTATTTTTGCTTATTCCTCATGTGAATAAATACCTCAAAATTGTATTTCATGGTTGTTTTTTCACAGTTTGCTACAGCTTCTACTAATACATGTGTTATATTCGGAGACCCAAAGCCAGGGTTTGAGAATTTTAATAAAAGGAATAATGAACAAGCAGTAGAATACATTGGTAGTTAACTACTTTGATCTGACACTTGCTTTGCTACTATTAACAATGACCAATATATCTTTTCAGGCTGTCTTGGAGTTTTCTTATTCTTATTTTCATTCTGAGCTGGGATAATTTAAAAAAAGCAGACAGTTGTATGAAATTAAATTAAGTCAAGAATAATGCAAGCAAGTTGTTTGGTGGGCAGAGGCAAGCATCCAGCCAGCCAGGTTATAGACATTACAGTCTTATAGACATTACAATCTGTCCCCCTATCCAGTCATCCAGTTCCCTCCTCAAATGGTTCCATATCAAGGACCTTCTTTCTTATGTCTAAGTTGTCCTTGTGGGTGTATACCTTATCTCACTTTCCTGGGCAAGCTGTCTCCAATGCCTCTGAGCAATGAAGAATAAGAAAGTCAACAAATCTTAAAACAAGATACGGCTTCTCAATCTAACTAAAAGTGTAAATGCTTAAATAAAATGTTCTAATACTAAATACTATAAAATATTCTAACAACCATTTAAGAATTTATTCTCGTTGTAGGACCACTTCTCTCCTTCTCTGCTAATGACTATTAGGTCTTTATTCCAAATTCCAGATACAAAAAAAAGAGAGGAGTAGTATAATTCAGAAACTTGAAACCTAGTTGAATTGATTGGGAACTTTTCTTCCTTTCCAGTTTGGTGACATACATTCTTCCAAACATGTCCCTTTACCATTTTTTAAATTTCTCCTATAAAAATTATCAATCAGCTACTTGTTGCTTGAGAAATTAGAATTTATTTCTGGCAAGCTTCATGGACTTAATTTGATATCCATGTTGCTTAGAGCTATTGTGTGTTGAGAGATACTGGTATTCCCATCCAGACTCATCCTCATCTCTGACATCAGCACCATCCCCATTGCTACATCCCAACTCCATCCAACCCTGTGCATGTCTACATTCATTAGATTTAGCTTACAGAAAATTGTGAGGGGATTTTGTGGTAATCTTAAAGAGTAACTACTGGGTTGCATTGTGCTATGATTTGAATTAGATTGTTTGCATCCCAAAGTGTCTCTTCTCAATCACCTGTCTACAGTTCATTAATCAGTCACATATTTTTCTAGCATCACTCAGCTGTGTCAGAGGTTTCCACCACAGCTGTACAAATCTGGAAATAGAGGTAGGAATTGCTGTCTGGGTTCCTGAGTTTCCAAAGTTCCTGTTTCCAGTTAAATTCAAACCATTGAAAACCCTACTAATAAATGCATTGTTGTATCACTTTATTGTGTCTCCCAAGAATCTATTGCTCAAGAGGACTTATATGCGTGTCTGTCTAGGTAATTTTAAGGCATGTTTTTCCTCATCTTTCATAAAAATGTAAAAGCAATATGTACATAAATTTGTCATCAACAATTGTTGGGTTTGAGTTTGGGTTTATTAACATTTATAGGCCGCCCTTTTCCCTGAGGGGACTCAGGGCGGCTTACATAGGATCAGGGGAGGGTAATACAGACAGTGACGTAAACAAACATAGAGTAAAATAATAAGCAACATTCATTCATCATTCGGGAGGGGCGATTATCTTTGTCCCCAGGCCTGACGGGCTAGCCAGGTCTTAAGGGCTATGCGGAAGGCCTGGACGGTGGTGAGGGTACGAATCTCCACGGGGAGTTCGTTCCAAAGGGTCGGAGCTACTACCGAAAAGGCCCTCCTCCTTGTGGTTGCCAGCCGGCACTGGCTGGCAGATGGGATTCGGAGGAGGCCCAATCTATGAGATCTAATTGGTCGCAGGGAGGTAATTGGCAGAAGGCGGTCTCTCAAGTGTGCAGCTTCCCATTTTTTTGTTTTATTATTTGTATCTCACTTTTATTAGTTTTACAAATAATTCAGGGGTAGCAAACATATACCTTCCTCCTCCATTTTCCCCACAGCAACAGCCCTATGAGGTGTGTTGGGCTGAGAGAAAATGGCTGGCACTAAGTCACTTAGCTGGCTTTCATGGCTAAGACAGAACTTGAACACAAGAGTAGTCTCTGCATCAAACATGGTAAACTCTGTATATCACATGGTAAATGAGAAATTCTGTTCTTGCCTCCCATTTTTAAGTGTTCTTTCCAAGGAAGCTATGCTAATACCAGTATTGTTTTTGTTTCAATTGTTGGCTCAATCCAACACTGGGTTCAGGTTACCCAGCACTGTAGGCCAATGAATTCATGAAGAATAAGGTGTAATGCAAACTCTTTATTTCTGTTACAGAAGTAAAGAGATACACTTGGGACCCAAGTTCAAATCAAGCATACTTATTGAAATTCAACAAGCTCTTATTATGCCATAAAAAACCCACATGTACACAAAATCACATGTCTTTTTTTTAACCTACTAATGATAACCTTTCTTTTAGTTCTGGACCTTTGCTGACATGTTGTTAAACTCAGCTAAATGCCATGTTACTTTCCTTGGTTCCATTAACAGGCCCATTGGCAGAATTCCTTCCCAAGGATACAAAGCCGCATTCTGTCAGCTAGTCTATGTATGTGATTAACCTATGAAGTGTTTATTGTCTTCCCCTCTAGCTCCTACTAGCATGTTCTAAAGAAGACATCAGTTAACTGCTAGTAACTATGTCTAGTAAAGGCACAGAGAAATTAATAAAAATGGAGCAGCCAATTCATGATTTACAAAAGCTCCTGATGATTTGTTTGCAAACCAATGTGCCAAGTAGTTCACAAGCTACTAAATGAAATCATTTCCTGTTTATTTTCATTTCCTATTAATTTAGATATGTTTTGCATTTGATTGTGCAAACTTATAAAGTTTAAATTCCTTTTTTCTTAAAAACAACATTTTTAAATGATAGATTTATGATTTTTATTCTTTTCCTAAAGAAGAAGGGCTAATTTCTCTAATCATGTTCTTTAAAGGCTACAAGGTGAAGAGTTTGCATTATAGAATCTAGTTTTATTTTTCATCCTTATTATACTTTTACACTATCCTAATAATTTGCAAGGAAGACCATAGTGAGTCCTATCACATATGCTGGAGATAAGGGAAGCAGGAAAAGGCATCTCCCCAAAAAATAGTTGTAGGCTACACTAATTACCAGTCAGCTACATAAAGGCAAGAAAGTGGGTAGAGGAATATAAACATGGTGTTTCTGGGAAAGGAGGTTTGAGAAATTCAATGTTTTACTTTATGGTCATTAAATGTATGTTGCAGTGCCAAGCTCTAAATAAGTGTACTTGTTCCATTCAGCCATGTTTTCTTCCCTGATAATATTTTCTGTGATAAGCAGTACAGAATTACTACATCTATCCTTTGCCATTGGTTGTGCTGGATAGGGCTGTTGGGAGTTGATCCAAAACATTGGAGGCATTCAATTTGATTTCATTACTCCCCCCCTTATGTTTCCTGTTCCAACCTCAGAGAACTCATTCTGTATCTGTTGACAATCTCTATTTCTGAGAATTGCTGTTATTTCTCTCTTGTCCATCTGGCTGGCATCTGTTGGGCAGTGTCCAGCCAGGCAGGGCAGAAGAACCAGTTGGGGATTTAGCCTTGAATAATTGCCTAGTTGCAAGAGCTTTAGCACTGACATCCATGGAACCTTATCTATCTGTTTTCAAGGAGCCTGGAGTCTTGCGGATGTTGATCTACTGTTTGGGTTTGACAATATCATTTTGATTGCAGAAGGAGTATTGTTTTTAAAAATGAGTTTGCTATTAGTTTTAGAACAATTAGGGCATAGTTTACTGGGCTGTTCTCCTATGCAAGTCTATTTCATTATATTATGTCTTATGAATCAAATCTGCTGCCTCTACTTTGATGTTGTCCTTGAATAGAAATTGCTATGACATTATCATATTACATAGGAAAGTCATTTATGTGCCCATTATTTTGAGATACTTCTAATGGTCAGAAATCTTGGGAGCCCATTTTAGATAATGCCACTAATTTCTTAACACTTTAAAATGTTAGTAAAAACATCATTTAGCCCAGGTTGCTAAAACTTTAAAGTTTGGATTCATCTTAATATGGAGTACAGTGTCTTGCTCTTTTGAATAATAATTACCCATAACAGAAATTTAAGAAGTTCAAATAACCCAAGAAAGAGTTGTACAACTTTGCATCATGGGGTCAAGATTGATGAGAACATTTTAATCATCTTGCCTTTGTGTTCTCCCCCCCCCCCTTCTCTCTCTTTTTATATTTAGTTCTTTTCTTTACAGGACTTCAATATGGAGGATATGTTTTGTGCATGCAACAGTCTGGAGGAACCACCTACTTCTGCTGTCATGTTAGAAACCCATTTCTCTCAGGTGGTCTTTGCAAACGTAGAGAAATTCTATGTTCCTGGAACAGACATAACTTGCTTTTATAACATTTCCCAGTTCTTCATGCCTCACAAGAAGGATTGGGTGGGCATATTCAGAGTAAGTTTGATTTGCAAAACCCACTGATATTTGAATAGTAAAACACAGCAATTGGAACTGATGTAGGATAGTTGATCTCTTTTGATAAAAACATCTGGAGAAAAAAATTCAGGTTTTTAGGAAAATTGAGATTTGGTAGTTTTTAGGTTTATCTGAGATCCATATGTTGAGGTCAGGAAGAAATAATACAGGATGGAAGCTATTTTTTCCATTCAACTTTCAGTTTTTGTTAATAAATTATATGTCTTTTTAGCATGTAAGTAGTGCTTGTGCCATTTTCAGCTGTTTACTCTGCCAATTGGTACCAAGCCAACATTTATATCTTACGGTTCTCCCCCCCCACCAAAAAAAAAAAAAACCTCAGTTGAGTTTTACTTTTCCTTGAATATTACTTTCCCCCAAATTGTGAATGGGTACTATTAATAACAACTTTAAGAGAGAGTTCCTAAAGTAATCTAGAGATAAAAATAAGAGAGTTAAAGTTCTCTGAAGTCCTTAATGGAAAATGGTATTTCAGTAGAATGATAGGTTATGCCACTACAGGTTCCTTAAAATGCAGAATAAACATTTTGCCAGGTCCAATGTTTCCCATTGTTGCTCCATAGAGATGTGTTAAGATGAAGTTTTCTCTCTGAAAGCCTTACAATTTTCCTATCTGTCTTCAAAGCTCTTGGGATTTGATTCTAGCCCTATTGCTAGTGTGGATAATGCCTTCCTATTCATTGTAATTTGAATGTTGAAGGCTTTCCCTCTCCTTCTTTCCTTGGATGCAGCAAAGCAACAGGGCCAACGTGGATCATTATTCCTTCCTTCTTCCAACATAAATTTCACATTAATATTGCTCTGTCTGAATACAGTTTATAATTCCTTCACTCGGTAACTATTTATTTGTTGGCGCCAAGAGGATGCAAAACAAATAACAACAGCTTCTCCAAAACATTTGAACAGTCTTCAGCCTGAAACCTTGAAGATGTGCTTGGACTGCAGTTCCCCAGATCCATAGTTAATATAGACTTTTAGCAGTCCCAGGCTGGGTGATGACTAGTTGGAGCAGGAATCGGAAGCCTTCACATGCACTTTGTGGTTGCCTTACAGGTGGGATGGAAGACAACTCGTGAATACATCACATTCATGTGGGTCCCTGAGTTAAGTGATTCCAAGAACAGATATGCTGAACAACAGCAGGTGACTTTTAAAGGTCAGTGATGAGAAGAGAATTGGTGGTGTTTTTTTGCAACAGGAAACCTCCTACAGTAATCATCACACCTGCTGAAAACCTGCCTTGCATATGGTGCCACAGTGGCATCCAAAATGGGTTGATTGAAATCTAGGCTTTATTCACTAGCAGTCCCTTAAAAAGAACCTGTGAAACCAATTAATGTGTTTATTAAATTTATGAATTATTTTTATTATTTGGCCAGAGTGAGAGTTAGTTGCTGATAGTATTATTTGAAGTGATTATAGAAAACAATGTTGGGGGGCGTGGGGAGAGAAATGACATTGAAGGGCTTTGTGGAGGTCAATAAAATAAGAAGAAGGAAACAAAAGATAGTTATATAAACAATTTTTTTTATTTCTTATACATTGCTGTATGGCTGTTACTTCCTGGCTTGGTAACTTTTACCACTGGAAAGAAAAAATAAAGCTGTTTGTTAGGAAGTGATTGTAGTTCAGCAGTAAATTCTATCCTGGGAAACCTGGTGATATCATTTGTTCCCCACCAGCTATGGCTATGGTGAGACATGAGCCTGAGATATGAGAGAGCTATTGATAGTAAGAATATACAATATGAGACTGCAGTCATAAAAAGGGAAGAAAAGAAGGGTGGGTGCACTAGGCTTAATTTCATTTTACGTGCTTAGGCTTAATCTGGGTATGATTTCAAAATCCTTGTGCAAAAGACCCAGACAGATATCTACCTAGAACTGTCAGCTTTGCTACTTGAGGAAGAGACAAATTTTAAAAGCTGTCAGCCTTCCTTCTGTTTGGCATCCAGCAGATTATCTCTGAAAGGTAAGTCTTAACTAAGTGTTAGATAGCTAACTTTTGTATTTCTTCTCAGTGACTGAGACTCTAAACAAGGAATGTGGCTTTTTGTTTTTACAGCCTACTATCTGCCAAAGGATGATGAGTATTATCAGTTTTGCTATGTTGATCAAGATGGGCAAATCCATGGGGCCAGTGTTCCCTTTCAATTCCGTACTGAGACTAAGGATGACATGCTGGTAGTTACTAAAGAGGTTAGTTCCCTTTCTTAAGTCCTAAACTGAATAAAGGCTTGTGCAGAATGGGTTAGGGTGTTATGGTCTTCAAAATGCGTGGCTCTAAGCATAAAACAGCTGTTTGAGTATTTTGGAAGTGTTTCATTGGAAATTGAAACATTCCCAATCCACTTTAAATCTTTTCACATTAGAAACAGTTGTTCCAAGCCTTAAGGGATGCATTTTGAAATCAAAGCAGTTTGAAAACATTTCGCATTCTTATAATGGGTTGCCTGAGATAAGGTAATCTACACGATCAATTGAATGCCTTTTTGAATTTATTCTATGTTTTTTAAAAAATTATAACATCCTTTTGTGAAAAAGAAAATCCTTCCAAACTGCTTCTATTGTAGCATTTTTAAAAAAAAATAGATCCTATACAATAGGAATGGGCAGCTGGTTGATTGGAGTATAGAGGTCTGGATGTACCCATATTTACACCTGTCTTGACAGGAAAAGGTACTTCTTCCACCTTATCTATAATGTGATCATCTTGAGTAGCAAAGAACTGCCAGACCTCCTTTTGTCTCTCAGTGCTACTGAAATTGAAATATTGACATAAAACCATTAAGCACTCACATAGAAACATCCAACACAGATTTTTTTTTAAATAATCAAAACTAACATTAAATATTTCTAGCAATTTGATGAAATAATTGTAGGAGAAGGGCATTGAACATACATTCAGAACAGAATGCATATTGATGTACAGCGAATTCTCATACCTTTGTCAGGGCGCTGCCTGCTAACATGGGAAGTGGAAAAAGTCTTAGTCCATATTATATCCATGACATCTTTGGTTAAACTCTTGCTAGTATGTATTTCTATTTAATCTTTATTTAGACATCTGGGAAAGATTTTTGAACACTCATTAATGTAGACATGTTTTTAAAATATTCTCTTAATCCACTTCTAAGCACAAAAGAGATGGAAAAGCAGTATTTAAAAGTAGTAGAATGAATCATCAGCATCTTTTATGATCACAACAGTAGGAGTTCAGATACTGATGGAATATTTTTAACAGTTTTTTTAAAAATGTTGTGTTACCAGATTGATCTCAGTAGTGGCTACTTACTATAGAGAATGGACACAAAAAAGAGTTTGCTGAGATGTCTTAGTAGTTTCCATTGTTTGCATATGTTGGCTGACTTACCTAAATTAAGTAGTCCACCCCATTCATAAAAATAAAATCTATTGAATGATTTTATCTAAAAATGTCCCATAATTCAAACAGCTAGTGCTTCATCTGTGACAGAAGATAAAGTATGAAAATAATGCTTACTAAGATAGTGCAGCATAGGCAAGCATGGTGGCTAATTAAATTTTTCTATTTTTCAATTCTTTAATATTTCAAAAACAGAATCCAAAGTGGTTTGACCCAACTAGAGAAATCAAAAACATCCTTAATGCACTGTTTCTGCTGATGCAATTAGCACTGCATGTAATCGAAGACTAATAAACTCAGAACTCATTACCAATAATATATAATAAATATTTAGATCAAAAGATCTATTTGCCTCCTGAATAGTGTCTAGCTCTCCAGAACATATTAATACCATGCATTTTTCTTTTGATTTTTGTGTGCAGGGAGAAATGGAGAAAATACAGCAGCAAAATGAAACATTGCTTCAAGAAAACAAGAACCTGAAGAAGAACCTAGCAAGTCTCCAGGATCAGAATATGCATCTACAAGAAGAACTTGTGGCAGCTAAGGTAGGAACCATCTCCAAAACAAGGCAATACACAACAACAAAAAAGGAAAGTGAACACATTTCAGAGGTGGGTTGCTGCCAGTTTGGTCCAGATCGGGCAAACCAGTAGTGGTGGCAGTGGGAGGTTCTGCTCACCCTCCCAGATGCTTCTGCGCATGTGCAGAAGCATTGAGCACGCGGGAAAATGTCCAAATCAATAGTAAAAAAAAAATTGGCAACGCACCACTGATACACTTAACTAGTGTTTTCTTCCTAGAATGATGTAGAGTTTACAGTCTCCACCGAAATTGCCTTAGAGGAAGGCAGGAATAGCTATGTGCTATTCAAAGTGCTAGTCTTAGTGAACTGCAATACTAAGAAAACATTCCACCTGGATTGGGGAGAATGAGGAAAGACTACTCTCAGTTACTATAGACAATGTGTATTGGTGTAATATCCAGGTTATTAAAAAAGGAAGCATGTAACACTACACAGTTCCTTTTAAAAATGCCAGTCTAAAAAGTAGGAAGTAGGACAAATTATGCACAGGTTAGAAAAAGTTGATTGAATCCTAGTCACTAAGATAATATTGATGTTAGGACACTCTGGATGGGAAGGAGGTTTTTTTTTTCCAAACAAAAATAAAGGTGGTTCAGAACAGAGGATATTTTGATGGCTGCTTCAGAATTGTCTGAATTTAGAATTAGATTTCCTTAGTAATAATGGAACTATAGAAAAACTGCAAAACAAAATTACCCCAAAACAAAGAGAAAAGGGAATCTACTGATTATTCACTGTAGAATGGCTAATAGATTGGCCCAAAATATAATAGGGTAACAAAGTTTAAAACATAACTATATGTTAAAATAAGCAAAACAGACATGTCAATTACTATTTTCTTATCTGTGACATTATAATAAATGGAAATCCTGATGATTTATTTTTCTGCCCTGCAACTTCAGGCTCTTCAAGATAAAGTGAACACTTTAGAGGACAAATGTGAGGAACTTGAATCCCAAAAGAAAGATTTAGAAAAGGAGAAATGTGCCATGAAGGAAGACCTGATGCAGTAAGTATTTATTTTTCCTCCTAGAGATAGCTAGTTCAGTCACAACACTAAGTAAACCTTTAGTGATTGAAATGTAGGAAAGCCTTAGATTCATGAAATCCATGTTCTCTTTTCAATGCAGCCGTAAAAAATCCCTTGGTTCTGTTTTTATTATTTTATGTTATTGTGTGTGGAAACAAATACATATTTTTATGAAACTGGTTTTTTTTTTAGTAGATATAGTTTAGCTATGGTTAACATTTGAATAAGAATAATAACACTGAAAGTATATTGTGGTTAAAAACATTGTTCTCTGGGTTGCATTGGAATTACTAAGACAGACGTTCCCAACCTTTTCTACACCCCACACTCCGAGAACGCTTTCGATATATTTTCGCACCTCTTACAAAAGTAAATAATTATATGCATATAATTATGCCTATACATTATAATTTTGAAACTTCTAAACCCAAATTTTCGCACTCCTGGGAATATCATCTTGCATTCCCCAGGGGGTGAAGCATCCCTGGTTGGGAACCCCTACTCTAAGGGGAGTAAAAAGACATTCTAGCTTGGAATCAGTTCAGGGAAGGAAACGCCTAAGGCTAAACCTGTAGAGAAGGCAGATGGTCTGGTGAGATGTTTGTAATATGCGTGATCGGCAATAAAGTATCTACTTGGGCCTATTCATGGAATGGTTCCTGTTACTTCCGCCTGACATTAATCTTGCCAGACTCAGCGCTTCTGGGAAGGAGAAAGCAACGGATATGGCAACAGAATCGCAGGCAGCTGCTATGTCTTCACAAGAGATGGCGAACACCGTACTCCTACATCAACAGGAAGTGGAAGCAGAAATGAGGAAGTTACAAGCAACGATACTTAAGTTGGTCCAGCCACCGGGGGCCCCACTAGCTCTGGTAGAGCAACCAATCTCCTCCCATAGTGGTTTGCCAGAGAAGTTTGGAGGAGAAGCAGACAAAATGAAAAACTTCATTGGACAGTGTGAATTGTTTATGGGAACCCGAACTGCAGAATTTCCAACAGATCATTCAAAAGTATCTTTTATATTGAGTTTGTTAAAGGAATCTGCGGCCAAGTGGGCAAAACCAATCATAGAAGGCAACGACCCGATAATGGGCAACTATCAAAACTTCATGGAAAGATTCAGAGCATATTTTGGGAATCTGATCCAAACAGTTTCAGCCAGTCAAAAGATTCAGCAGCTTAAGCAGGGCTACAGAAGAGTGCAGTTGTACATTGCTGATTTTAAATTATTGGCAGCAGATGCTAACTGGAGTGAGCCAGCCTTGATGGACCAGTTCAAGTATGGCTTGCACAGTGACATTCAGAGTGAGCTGGTGAAGCGAGGAGTTCCACAGAATCTAGAGGAGTTATTCCAAAGTTGCTTGCTCATAGACACCCATTTGCAAGAATTGAAATGGAAACAGGAGAAATCGTGCAGGCCTAAGGTTAAATCAAATTTCATGAGGCCTCCTCCCTCAACCAATCTGGAGATGGTACACCCGATGTTGTTTGGAATAGGCAGAAGAATGGCAGTTGTTAGGGAAAGACAAAGACGGCGGGAATCAGCAGCTTGCTTTTACTGTGGCAAATCAGGGCACATCAACAGGGCTTGCCCAACAAAGGGGCCATCTAGAGAAAGCGGGATGCCTGATCAGGATGCAGAAAAGCCTCATTCCTCTCATCAGTCACCAATTTAAGGAAACAGCAATGGCCCCTCTCTCAAGAGCTCGCAGAGGGGACCATTCATCTTGTAAAGAGAGCTCAAGTTGGACCATAGTATACTCTTAATTGTTTTTGCTAGATTATCTTTTGACTCTGGGCATGAGGAACAGCAAGAAACCTTACATGATTCTGGGGACACCACAAATTTCATAGACTTACAATCAGTAGAAGAATTAAAGATACCTACAGTATGCCTGCCGGATCCCCTGAAGATAGATATGATAGCAGGCAGCCTTTAAGAGTACCATTGTTGTTAACAATTGGAGAACATATCAAGCACCGATAATCTTAGGGACAGCATGGCTAAAACTGCATAACTCAACAGTTGATGGGGAGAGGAGGCACCATCATTCCCTTCTCCAGCCTAAAAACTCAATCTGCAGTTTTCTACAGGCCTGCTGGATACCCTGAGCCAGAGTGAATAGAATAGCCAGTCATGTATGCCACCTTTGCAGACATTTGGGGGGGGAGATGAGGCTTCAATCCTCCCCCCTGCATAGGGATTATGACTGTAATGTTGATTTGAAACCTGGAGCTTAAGTTCCAGAGATAATATCCAATATTAATTTTTACCTTTTAATCAAGCATTTTTATTCAAATTTTAGAGGGTCATTAGAGAAAAAAAATCTTCTACATCACTATCTTCAGTACCTACTTTTTTTGTTCCAAAGAAGCAAGAGGCAGGTATTCTGAACTTGAAGGGAGACCTTCCGATGCTCACAGTCCACTATTACAAGGATCTCAACAAGGTTACAACAAGGGACCATTTCCTGCTATCAGATTTGATGGGCAGATTACAGAGAGCTCCCATATTTCCCAAGCACTTGGGATGCGTATAATCTTGTTAATAATCAAAGAAGACTATTTGACAGTCTTTGATACCAAGTTAGGGTAGAAGTTTGAATATAGATAGTCCTCGACTTACAACCATTCATTTAGTGACTGTTCAAAGTTACAACAGGACTAAAAAAAGTGACTTATAACTGTTTTTCACATTTATGATCACTACAGCACCCCCATGCTCACATGATCAAAATTCGGTCACTTGGCAACTGGCATGTATTTATGACAGTTGCACTGTCTTGTGGTCATGGGACATTTTTACATGTGGTAAAATGTGGCCATTTTTTTACTTTCTCAACTGGTTTCCCACAAGCAAAATCAGTGTGGGAAGGCAGGTTCACTTAGTGACCAGATGATTCAAATTACAATGCAGAGATTTGCTTAATCGCTGTGGCAAAAAAGGTCAAAAATGGGGCAAAGCTTAACAACTGCCTTGTTTATCAACTGAAGTTTGGGGCTTTGTAATTCGAGGATTACCCACATACAGTTTATACCTTTGGGATTGGCTAATTGTGGAGTAGTATTCTCTAGATTCATGAACCAATTTTTCCTCGGAAATGACAAATATGTGATAATTTATTCAGATGACATCTTTATTGTCTCTGAGAATGCAGAGGCTTGTGTGCAGCATGCTAGGGAGATGTGAAATCTACAGGAGAATAAGCTTGACAAATGCACCTTTGCCCTCCACCAATTGGACTACTTAGGTTATAGGATTTGGGGGCAGGACAACAGGTTTAGGATTTGTTTACCAGAATCAAGACACAGCAGCAGCAAGACCCATATGTTCGGGTCTGGATGGACGACATCTAGGAAACTCATCAAAGTACATTATCTGTTTTCGGTCACAGATGGAAAATCTGAAGCATAAAGACAGATCTTCATGCATGTACCTTTAAGGGAGGAAGTACTGCAACTTTGAAATGGTATTGAGATGGCTGAACATGGGGCAGTCTTCAAGACACTGCACAGAACATTAAGAGACTTTGGTGGCCTAGGATGGCACCAGACATTAAAGACTATAACAAGTGTGCCAAAGAATCAGGCCCCTTACCCCCCCCCCCCCAGCCTTGGCATACAGTACTATTTGACTTTAGAACAGATTTTCCACCAGTGGTGGTGTATCTCTTTACTAACAATCAGATGTTGCAATAATATTTGAGGTGTTATTGTACATACAGCCAACACAATTATCCATCATTTAGTCCATTAGCCAATTTTGTATATAATAATTGTATCCACGCATCAATTTGCAATGACCCAATTCCAGACCTTATGGGAAACAGGGGTTTTATCTGCAACCTCACACTAGGGTTGCATCCCCGGGGCCTGGATTTTTCAGAGGAGCAATGCACTGCTCAGGCACTGTTAAAAGAGCAGCTGGACTAAACCAAATGGTCTTACTAGAGACACACACAGCAACAACATAAAAGAGCTTGGCAATTGCAGAGCGGGATAGTGTATGGCTTCCTACTACATTTTTATCTTATACCAGACCCTCAAAAAAGCTACATGCAAAATTTGGGGGCCCTTTTAAGGTCCTATGATAGGCCAGTGCTATGGACCTTTGTTTGCATTTGCCACCATCTATCAAAGTGCACCCATTTTTATTCGATGTCGATGTTGAAGGAGGCACTTCGCAGTCATTGGCAGCCTCCACACACCACCTACATCCATGAACATTGAAGGCCAAGGGACTTCGAAGTGAGGGAAGTATTGGACTTGAGGCAGGAGAAAAGAATACCGTGTTTGATTCACTAGAAGGGCTACCCAGAAACAGAGCACTTGTGAGGAAATGTAAGGTACAGTACATGGATGCTTCAGAATTAATAAACTTTTCATAAGTGCTTCTCAAGAAAACTAAGATCTTCCATGCTCCCCAGTACCAGCTTCAGTCCTGAGCCTGAGGAAAACCAGTGAGTGAAGGGGTTAACTATTCAAGGGTGCCCTTTGTGGAGAGGCACGAGACTGGCAGTGGTTCAGTTTCAGGGGGAATTTGGGTGGGGGGGGAGGACCCTTCTAAAATGCTTTAGATGTTTTGCAGGGAGAACCACCTGACTGGGAAGATTCCTCGGACCTGTAAGAGGACAGCTCTTCTTACATGTTATGCCATTGCTAACCCTATTGTCCAACTGGAAGAAAGAGGGGGGGTTGTTTAGAGAGGAGCGCATGATATGATAGCCCCCTCCTCCAGGGGAGTAAAAAATCATTCTAGCTTAGAGTCAATTCGAAGGAGGAAAGTCTGAGTAAACCCTTAGGTCTATTCCTGCCATTTCCTAAGAGAAGGCAGACAGTCTGACAAGATTCTTGTAATGTGGGTGATCAGCAATAAACTTGGGGCTATTCATGGAATGTTTCTGGTTACTTGTACCTGACAGGGTTCCCCTGAAGCAATAAATACTGAATTTATACTGAATTTATACTGAATTATAGTATAATTTTTATGCTCTGAATTATCCAGAGAACTATTCTTGGTAGTATATAAATGCAATAAAGAAGTAATAATAATCTATTATGCCTGTTTCCATATAGGATCAAAAAAGAGAAAGAATCTGCATTATATGAGAAAGAAAAGATTGGAAACCAACTGAAAACTATTTGGCATCAAAAAGAAGAATGTCAAGTGAGTTAGCAGCTCTGGGGTCTTTCTTAAGGGTTTAAAAGAATTGCTCCTGAGCACATCCTCTCCAGATATGTTAGCCAACTTGACCAGCAGTGCAGATTCTGCAGGTTCTTACAATCTCCACACATGCAAAGGATATCATATTAGACAAAGTTCAATCTTGGAAGGAGGAAGCTTTTCAAACGCCAATTTTAGAGAACCAGAAACAGCATTTGTGCTTGAATGGAAAGGACCAAATATATCCAATTGCTTCACATTCCTTTCTTGCAAACCAGTATCTAACACAAATGAATTCTGATACATATAGTATTTTCATCCTTATCTCAATTTAGGAACAACTTCTTTCAATAGATAATTTATGCTGCATCTATATGCTTTACATTTAACATCATAGAATGTTATTTGAGTTGTTCCATAAACACATAGTCCTCGAATTATGACCATTGATACAGTGACCATTCAAAGTTATTACTGCCTGGAATTAAGGGACTTATGACTGACTCAAATTTCTGGCCATTGCAATACCCCACATGAACAAAATTCCTGACACTCTGGCAGCTGTGAATTGCAACCATCCGGGTTTCTCTCCACAGGTAAACAGTTTGGTCATCTAGGAGTCATCTGGAATTGTTCCTAGTTGCTCCCATTTTTTTTTTATTTTTTTTTTACTATCAAATCATTATACACATCAAAGGTTAGGTATCTTATTCCTTCCCTCCCTCTTCTCTTCCCTCATTTCTTCTTTTCCATACCCTTTTCTTCCCTCCCCCCCTTACTTCCTTCTCCCCTGCCTTCCCTCCTTTCTTTTCTCCTTTCCTCCTTTCCTTCCCCCTCCTTTCCCTCCCTCGATCCCCCCCCTCCTTCACACATACCTTCCCTCCTTCCCTTCCTCTTTCCCTCCTCCTTTCTTTTCTCTTAATCTCCCTCCTTTCCTCCCTCCTTCCTTCCTTCCTTTCAACACTCCTTCTCTCTTTCTTTCCCTCCCTCTTTCCCTCTTTACTACCCTCTCTTCTTCCCTCCCTCCTTCCTCCCCCAGTTTCTTATTTTTATCTCCCATTCTTCTAGTTGCTCCAATTCCTATCCCATTCTTATCTAGGGAGCAAGTGCCTCCAAAGAGCTGGCTTTAGCAGTGAAATCAGCCATTCAGCAACGGGGGTGGGGGTGGGGGGGACTTCCAGTTGCTCAGAGGATAGAGAGTAGAGGATTTCTAAATAATATGTACATACGAACATTTTTGTTTGTTTTCTAGTCACCTCAGCTATTGAAATAACTCAATCGTAACATCTGCCAAAATGGTTAAGGTCTTTTTAGCTTCCATATCTCTCAAGAATTTTATAATTTCACAATTATCAAATCTGCAAATTTTACAGAACTGTCCTAAAACTAACTTTGAGCCGATTGCCTAATGATTTTTGCCTAATCCCTCCTCTTTGTTAGATACAATTGCACATTCAACAGAAGGAGATGGAGAACCTGCAGGAGGGAATTAAAGAAAAAGCAATGCACCTGGAAGAATTGAAGGGAGAGAATTATCAATTAAATGCTGCCTTGTTTAGACAGGTAACTTTCCTACATTTTTTTCTTCTTTTGATATATAGTTTTTAAACCTTAAATAACTTTAAATTTGTATTCTTCCCTAGGAAAAGCATAGTTTATTAATCTAATGAAGCAGTTCCCACTCCAGATAATCTAGCTGCTGCAGATTGATGCATACTTTTCCAACTCTGCAAAAAATTTATTATCCCTTCTTCCTGGGAAGCTGCCACTTCATTGTATCACACCACCTCTCCCTTCATAGAAAAAAAATCAATCACAGAGAGAAATTTCCTTGAACGGCATATAAGAATGTAAACAACTCTTTGCTCTAAATCCTTTCTCTGTCACCCTGACCCTCTCCCAGCATTTTTGTTGTTGTTATAGCTTTCAGGCACCACTGTCAGATTACAAGCAGAAGGTGTTTTGTCTACGAGGGATTCACCACACAATAATTATTTTCCGAAATGCACAATACGACAGCAATGACCTTCCATAAACTAACCTTGCAAATTTCAGTGGCTGACTATGTTTATGAAGTGAGAGATAGTGTGATAGACTGTTGACGCACTTTATGTTTGAGGGAGGAAAGGGGGCAGTGGCAAGGGCAAAGGCTCACAGTTCTACCATAAGGATTTTTCTATTGGGACAAGAATGGGAAGAAGAATTAGCAAGCAAAGCCTTTTGGCTAAGAAAAATATATAATAAATATGTATAAACAAGAAAGAAAAGAAGGAAGGAAAGAAAGAAGGAAGGAAAGAAAGAAAAAAGAGAAAAGAAAAAGGAGAAAGAAAGAAAGAAAGAAAGAAAGAAAGAAAGAAAGAAAGAAAGAAAGAAAGAAGAAGTATTTGTTTGCTTAACAATTGGAACAAAAATATAAGCAGGATTGGACAGTGGGGTGAATGTCTTAGGTTACATCACCCTAGGTATGATTTTCAGTTAGTCCTCATTCGATATCTGAACATTTTAGTTTGAGGCTCCCGATCTGTTCATTATCATTGTTTTCCTTCAGTGCCTAATCAAGCAGAAAAAATGGGAATGCACTAAGGCAAATTTTGAGCTACATTTGGAGAATAATCCATATGTTCTGACTTTCTCTGTATATGCTGTCCTTTTATTCTTTCTCTTCTCCCCATTAAAACTTTTAATTGACTTCTTGCTTTGGTTTTGGGCAAAAATATCCCTCCATAGCCATGCCATTCTATTATTTGCCCTGTGCTGAAGCTTGTCCTAAACACCGTGTGGTCCATTTCTCTTGAATCAGTTAAATATATCCTACTATTACAGAATTTTGATGTACATTTTAAACTGGGCCAATTCTAATGTCTTTCCTGTTGCCCACTTCACCCATTTTATATGTGCCTAAAACAAAAAAATTACCTATCACTGCTTTAGATTATATTATATAGAGATTATTTGATTAGGGCACCTAGTGTGAATGCTATCATCTTTCTGGAAGTGCTGGCTTGTCTAGTAATTAGAGATGGTACCTGACTAATTTAAATTCCCAGTCCTGACACTTAGTAGAAGATCTTGCACTCCCTGTTACCTTCCAGTCTAATCATACAGTACTCCACAGGGCTGCTCTAAGAATTAAATAGATCTTAACCCTGAGTACTACTGGTAGTGGAAAGTGTGAAATAAGGATTGGGGGTGGGGGAGAGATGTTTACCATTTGCCTTTGGCTTCTAATTATGATCCACCTTTTTTTCTTTTCTCAGCAAATGTTGAACAACATCCAGGAAGAACAAACACTTGCACTTCAAATCCTGAAGAAGCAAAAGGATGAACTAGAGCTGGAAAATCAGGTGCAAACTTTGTTATGTGGGGAGTGACGAGAGTTGCTACTGTTGGATTATTGTGCAGAGGGCAGTATTGTACAACTAGGGACAGTCTGAGTTGCTTGGGGTAACTTTTTGTAATCTTGTGGCTCCTTGTAGCTGAGTATGAAAGAAAGCTTGTAAATAACTGCAATATTTCAATACTAGGAAACTTAAAACCTAAAAGAGTGTGGATTAATCATCAAATTTCTCTTTAAAAATGTTGAATAGTTAACTCATATCCATTGTGATTCCAGAAAACACAGTAATAATTCACAAAGTATAGTGTTTCCCTGCCATCATTTTAATATTTATTTCTGCCGCTACTAATTAGAGTAATCTGGTATTAAAAACATAGGTTTCAAATATTTTTTATGCTCAGTGAATAGTCTGCAGGTGTGCTTCTTGCATTCTTAATAATTCAGTCTTGAGCACCAAGCCAAATCTGCTGCCATTATAGTATTGCACATACAGTATATTACTGTGCAGATGTTTATAAGGTGATTTGATTCTTTATCTTTACCTGTACTGGGGACTTCTTGGAAATACTATTTATGGCTGCACGTAATTCTTCTCCCAGAGTGCTGCAGAGCATAGGATCATTGATTAAGGTAACATTAATGAGTAATCTCATCCAAGTTTGCATAGTTTCACTAATGGCCAGGTAGAGCCATTGAAGACTGTTAGTAAGACATTGTTTAATTCTAGCATTTTTGTAGACAAGACACTTTACTCACTAGTTATAACCCTGGTTGCATGTTGCTTCAATGGCAAGTGCATATTAAATTTTACTTGTAAACAAACTCTAGGAAGAAGACAATGATGCTATAGGATGGAAGAGCAATGTGAGTTTTGATGGCAGGAGGTGGGATAAGCAAAAGTTTCAAATATGGAAGAAGAACCTGCTTAAAAGCTTTGCAATATTTCAAAGGGTTGTGCTCAATTTTGCTCAGGTTTCAAATCACTACAGAACAAAAACAAACTTTTCCAGTTCCCTAGATCAACCAACTGAACAAAGTCAGAAAAATCTACAGCTGTTTCTGAACTGTTGCGTGGATGTTCCCACTGTGAAACTATGTTATGGGACTGGTGAGAAACAACTTTCATGTGTAAGCAGGGAAATTTGTTCCTATATTTCAGATGCAAACAAGTGTTTCTGGGCCCAACTATCCATATATCATAACTTCCAATTACTGGTTATACATTTTAGCTTTTTTTTTTTTGCAGAAATTATGGCAAGAAAATGAGGTGTTGAAGGCACGCCTCCCTGAAACACGCAGTTCATCTGCTGGAGTCGTATCCCAGTCACTGCCTAACTCTGCAATTCTGTTTGGAAATCCAAATTCTGGTGAGTGCCCTTCAACTTCCAGCTGGGAGGTTCAACCTAGCAGCAAAAGTATGCTAATTGAGAACTCAGTGCTGTGCTGTTTAAAAACACGTAATTGCTTAAGTGGTTCTCAACTTATGACTGTAATGGACCCTGCTCATTATTGACATAAGTCATGATGATAAATAAGGTGGGTCATCAGGTGGCTGACCCAATTTTATGTCCCTTTTTTGCAGCAGTTGTTAAGAGAATCCATGGTTCACTAAGGGATGTTTTTGCCAAAAATCAGAAGCAAACAATGGGTTTTGGCAAAAACTTTGTAAATTGTGGATACTTGACCATGAGATGCTGCAAATGGTTGTAAATGCAAGCCATGGCCAAGCACCCAAAATGTGGTCACATGACTGTAGGCAGGGGCAGTCATTGAAATTTTGAAACCAACCAGGTTATAACTACAGTTTTTTGGGTGGGTCCATGCTACCTTTGAACAGTCACTAAGCATAAATGAAGGACGGCTGTACCAAATTTTGCAGTTATGAGAAGGACTACTTCTTTTGGATTTGTTATCTTTTGCTGAGAAATAATAAAAATGCCCTGAGACAGACATTGGCATTTCTATGAGTTGTACATCCAAATAAGATGAAATAGATTATGTATTGGCAGATCTTACTAATGCACAGACTTCCTGATTGATTCCTGACATTACTGTTCTTTACCATCACAAGTATTTTGAAGTGTCACTGAAGCTATATATTAACATTAAAGGTAAGGTAAAGGTTTCTCTCGCACATATGTGCTAGTCATTTCCGACTCTAGAGGGAGGTGCTCATCTCTGTTTCAAAGCCGAAGATCCAGTGCTGTTTGAAGACGTCTCCGTGGTCATGTGGCCAGCATGACTAAACACTGAAGGTGCACAGAATGCTGTTACCTTTCCACAAAAGCTGGTCTCTATTTTTCTACTTGCATTTCTACATATTTTTGAACTGCTAGGTTGGCAGAAGCTGGGACAAGTAACGGGAGCTCACTCCTATGGCGCTAGGAACTACCAACCTTTCTGATTGACAAGCTCAATGTCTTAGCCATTGAGCCGCTGTGTCCCTTTATTAACATTAAATAACTCATGTAATTTAATGTCAAAATGTTTTATTTTTCTCATTATGGTTTGTCTTACAGCATCACCAGCAATTGCTCAAGTGGACCCGGTGAGTTTTCACTTTTAATGTCTTTATTATTGAGCACAATGTAAAAAAAAACCTGAAACCATACAGTAAAGACAGTGCCACAGTGAAAAGAAGTCAGAAAAAACAGGGAAAGGATACATGATTGTTGAAGCCACAATTGTTGGCTACAATCATTGTCCTTAATAGTCCTTTGGTGCTTTAAACCAGCCTTGTTTAGAACTGAAGGAAAGGCAGATTAGTGGTGTGAGTCCTTAATCATTTAATGTTTTGCATGATGTTTTGAGGTATCCATCTCTTTTTTCTCTGCTACAGTTCCACTCCATCACTTGCCACAATACCACAGAACAAAGCTTTCCCATTCCTGTAACAGAAATGTACTGTCATGCACTTTCAAAGCAGTTTGAAGAAAAAAACATTTCCATTGTCTTCTTTCAGGTCTCTCTGAAAAAGTGTCCCATATGCCAGGAAGTCTTCCCTAATGACATTGAAGAACAACAATATTTGGATCATGTGCAAAATCATATTCTCGATTGTCCATACTGCAATAAAACCTTTGACAGCGCTGAGAAGCAAGTGTATGATGATCATGTCTTTTGCCATAACTTAGACTAGGCTTAAGCCTGCTGGCATCACCAAAAATATTACACTAATGCTTTTTTTCTTTCCTTTTCCCATTTCTCTCCTTTGTATGATCTGGCAGGGATAGATACTAAAATGCTAAAATTGCCATACCAGGCTAAAGTCTGTTGTTGGGCCTTAGGTACTGATTACTTTAATTTTCTTGTGATACATGTGTTAAATTAAATAATACATTATGCTTTTGCTTTGGAAGCAGATTATCACATATTTAAATCTTAGATTTAAAAATAACATGCTAGTAGAGTATCTCTAGCACATGGGCTCCAACACAAGTCTGAAAGTTTAGAAGGCAAAACCTCTGGTCCCTCTGGATGACCCAGATTGGATCCTACAATATTATCCTGAGACACATATATGCACCTTTATTTGTAATTTCTAGCTCTGCCAATAGTAAATAATAAAATTTGCACTTTTGCTTGTGTTGTTTCTGTTTTATGGCTGTTTAGGCAAAGCAACAATTATTCTTCCCAGTTTAAAAAAAATGTTTCCTATCTGTTGTCAGGGAGCTCACAATCATATCAGAAGTAACTGAAGACTGAACCCATTTTTTTTTTAATAAAGATTTTTTTTTGGGACTGTCCAGCAGCAAAAGTATCAACTGCGATCTTGGGGCTCCAAGATCACACGTCGTGTTGTTGCAACGTCAGCTCCTCCTTCCCCTGAACCCAATTTTTTTTAATGTTACTGATTGATAAAGGTACTAACAGATTTTCACCAGTCTTGTCACTGTATTGAAAAGGTTAAACAAAAAGGGTCTTTTTTGGAGTTGCAACATATAACCAGAATCTCTTTATGATAATGTAGAAATGTGCTGCTTTTTTTTTGAAATTTCTCTCTCTCTCTCTGACTATTATATAATTAAGAATACTGTATTAGAACAGAACACATGAGTGGACTCCTTTTTCTTGAAAAAGCACAATATTATTTTTTAGTTTAGTTTGACAGTGCACTTTCTACTCTTTAAGACTGAATGTTGCAATAGAAATAAGCTGCTTACATAGAGATTATATACTATGTATTGATTAACTAAATAATATTACATATAGCAAAATCTTTTTAGTAGCACTTTACTCTTTTAAGTTGTATTGCTTTTTTTAAAAAGTACTATTATTGTTTATCATTGTTTTCTTTATTCTCTCTTTTGCATTATTATGATTATTTTGCTTTGATTGTACACTGAATGATTCTGTACCTGAGACAAATGCTTGTTTAATTACATTTGGCCAAATAAAGCATTCAGTTTAGATAATTAAATAAGTGTTGGTTTTTCTTTTTCAAGTACCTATCGATTGCTTATTGAAAATATACCAAATTCAGAATGGAGATATGCACCTATACGGATTCACTGGATACGCACATGTATCAGATGTAGTGAATCATATGTAGTGAATTCAGAATATCTACCCTCTACTAGTAAATTTATTTTTTGGTTCTAAACTGAGACAATTTTAATACTTAATATGTTAACTCAGATAATTAAACATACCAGAAAAAAAACAGGATTAGGGTAATTTCCAAAAAATGCTCTGCTTGCATTTGGGAATCAATTAAAGATCCTGTCTTATCAGTTGTAGAAGTATTTTCTTCCTTTATATTTTTTGTTTATACTATGTGCCATCTGTTTCTTTTGACAAAGTTCTGTAGTTCCTTGCAAGTTTACTTTGGCTCTCTTCTCACTTGGCTGCTTTTACCAAAATAAAATTATTATCTGCATACTTTCTAATTGTTGGTCTTCCTTGGTGAGATTTCTACCACAGGAGCTGCACAAAGATTGTAACAGATGTTCTGTATAAAGATGCCTTACGATATTTTGCTGCCAGAAATAATGGCCAAGATTTTATTTCCCTAGTTTCACATAGCGAAAAGGAATGGATTTGCAGTAGAATTTTTCCTCATGCACAGATATAAAGTGATTTACACAAATGAAATGGCAGCAGACCAGTTCCTGACATATCCAGCTCTGATTGTTTAGAAATAGCTACTGGTTAGTAGTTCCAGGGCCTGCCTAATGATAGAGCCAATACTGCAGCATCCTGTTAAAAAAAATCACACACCATACACACACACAAACACACAATCAGCACAGTGACAGGATTGGAAAAGGTCTGATTTATCTATCCTTCTCACATCACATTTGGGCAATTTTCAATCTACAATAATATAGAATATGGAAATATACATAATTAGCTTATTGGGGAACACCAAATATAAATAGTTTCTTCCAGAGAAAAGCAGATCCTGCTATCATTATGCAAGTAGTTGAATAACTAATCCTAAACTCTGAGCGGAGGGGGTGTGTGGTCTTCAAGATTGTAGACTCCTCAAGGAGTCTACAATATGCATCAAACATGGAGAATAAAACAAGCCAAGTGGGTCTTCTGCTGACACAGATACTTTACTGGGTTGAAGTATAGGGAAGAAGATAAATACTAAACTGTTTTAGGAATTAGATTCGCAGCTGATTTAGGCCAGTTCCCTTCTTCCTGCTGGTTAAGAGTAATTTTTCCAGCCTAGTTGTAATCCTGAACTGCACATGGCTGAGGTTTTTTTTGTCATTACTAGCAACACAACTATCACCACTGCTCTCTATATCCCCTTGTTCTGTATTCCCTGCTCCAAGAGCTCCTGTTACTCTATCAAGGTTCTCATGCATCCCATCTGTTACAACCCCAACTTCTGTTTTCTTCTTCCATAAGTAAGGCACTCTGCCCACCTTACCGCTTAGGTTATACCAGGCATGAAATCTTATTTTCACTACCGGTTTGGAACCAAGAGTGTGCGAGTGTGCGAGTGTGCTTGCTTTGCTTGCGTGCATGCTTCTGCACATGTACAGAGTGTCCGTGATGACGGCTTGGTGGTTGGGAGGAGCCTATCACCACCACCACTTTGCCTGAACCGGGGCCAACCGGCAGAATACCACCTCTAGGATATACCACTGACTTCCTTTTAAGTCTTGCCTGAGCACCAACCTCACCAATATGCACCTTCCACCCAAAGTTATTAACTTTTGTATAGTGAGGAAACTTCCACTGCCTATGCAATGACTGTGTGCTTTAATTGTGTTTAGTAAAAAATAAATTGAATTCAAATTAAAACTGAATTCATGCTAAGTTTTTATTATTGTTTTATTTTAGTCAACAGATACTGAAAGTCCTGCTAGTGTCATATGGGATTCCACAAAAGTTTAGACATTAAAAGGGGTTCTTCGTGCAATTTGGGGGGACCAGTGAGCTAGAATATGGAGCTGAAGAAGTAAGTAGAATTATATTGAATTTTCTTGTCCCTATCTAGCCACAGAAAATGGTGGTGAAGGTGTTGGACTAGGAACAGACGCCGAGTTCTGGTCCACCCTTCCCAACAGGTGCTCCATGGTGGCCTGATATTCTCAATCTAATTTTCTATAGGGATTTTCTGGAGAAAAATTGGAGCACTACGTATTTCACTTTGAACTCCTGAGTGAAAGGAGGATATAAATCAAAAATGGGTTTCTGTGATACAAAAAAGCATTTAGCAATGGTTCTATAGTCAAGGTGATAAAGCACAAGTTGTGATCTTCCAAATTGACTAAACTACATCCAGCATACATGAAGTTGTGCTGCCTGCTGTACTGGCAGATGTCCTTCGTAATATATGGAGAGCTACCCAATGAGGTATCCCATCATTGAACTCATACAGCTTGCTAAGCCATCTTTTGCAAACACCTGCAGTAACTCAAAGTTAATCAGAAAGACACCCAAAGGTACCATATCAGGCATAATATTGCCACCGGATCCCTACGCTCCTCCCATGATTTAAAATACAACTTTAAAAATGCATGAAAACTTATAAATTGTCAAATTTTGCATTAGACACATAACACACATATCCCATAATTGTTGCTTTATAAATATCTCAAGGTGGTTTACTTAAATAAGTCACATCTCTCCTCCTATTTTCCTCGTAACAACAATCCTGTGAAGTAGATTGGTCTAAGAAAGAATGACTGGCCCAATGTTACCCAGATGACTTTCATGTCTAAGGCATAAAAGGACTAGAACTCACAAGTTCCTGATTTCTAGGCCAGCATCTTCCCCACTACACCAAACTGGTGTTTATATACTTATTTCCACCTGAAAACTCTGAAGTATAAAAGAACATTCATAATTTGATAGTTTGATATTGCTGAAATATGAGATAATTTGAAAATGATTTATTACTTTTATAATCTACCCCCACCCAAAAATCATATAGCAGTAGCAATAGCAGTTAGACTTATATACCACTTCATAGGGCTTTCAGCCCTCTCTAAACGGTTTACAGAGTCAGCATATCGCCCCCACAGTCTGGGTCCTCATTTCACCCACCTCGGAAAGATGGAAGGCTGAGTCAACCTTGAGCAGGTGAAATTAGAACCACTGAACTGCAGATAACAATCAGTTGAAGTGGCCTGCAGTACTGCACCCTAACCACTGCGCCACCTGGGCTCTTATAGCACCAGAAGCTGTGGATCTTAGCATACCGAAGGAGACCGAAGGATACTATTCTGCAGGGTTGTCATATATCATTCTACCTACCAAAAAGAATATAGGTAGTCATTGTGTTACAACTATAATGGAGCTATCCATTACCATTATAAGCCAAGAGGACATTAAGTGAATCACATTAAGTAAATGAGACAGGGTGAAATGCTATCGGTTTGGACCGGTTCACCTGAACAGGTAGTAAAATGCTACCCATTCCCCCGACCGGTAGTAAAAAAATTGCTACCAGTTCGGGTGAACAGGTTTTTCTGACGATCAGCATGATTTATATTTGCTGCTTTCTAACTAATCTAAATCGTCTGGCCCAGCACATCTCCCTCCCCCTCTGTTCACTTACCTTTGCATGCGCACTCTGTGCCTGCATGGAACGCGTGCTCACATTGCTATCAAACCGGTAGCAAAGATAAGTGGATTTCATCCCTGAAATGAGCCCTCATTGCTGTTCCCATAAATACGTGTGGGTCTTTAAGAGTGCATGGGATACCTGAGGAGTGGGGATAACCATGGGAGCCTAGTACAGGAACAAGTCCACCTGCTCCTGGCACCCAAGTCCTCTCCCTACCCACTGAGATATCCCATGCTCCACTTCTCACAACTTGGGGTCCCCACAACTGCTTGGGTTTTCTCCACACCAAACCCGTCACTGATCGTTTACTTACCTTTTGAAGATCTCCAGAGTTCAAAAGGTCGGAGTAGGAAAGGAGAACAGGTCAGGAATTCCCAAACACTTTTGCAAAGGGAAGAGAAACCTATAGGAAAGAGAAATTTGCTGTTGGCTGCATGCCTTTCTTCTCCCACTATTAATTCATAGTGTCTATGCCATTACCTGATTTTTGTAATAGATACATTCAATCATGGGTTGTATCCTTGTCCATTGCCAGAGTAACTTCCAAAGGTTAGAAACTCAGAAAATACCTTAAGTAAAAGAGAAATTTGCTGTTGGCTGCATGCCTTTCTTCTCCCACTATTAATTCATAGTGTTAATTAGAAATACTAACCTCCAGTTGATGCTTACATTTAATATACTGGTATTTAATTACAGTTATACATAATAATGGGGTTTTTGAATTATTTTAATGAGGCAACAATTACATTTAACTATGGAATAGATTGTTTTAGGATACTCTTTTTTTCAAAGAGAATGGTTGAATTGACACCACATCTTTGATTTGGTTGCCAAAACCATAATAATACAGTGAATTATAAATTAATTAAACAGTCTTGGTTCACACAATATACTAAATCACACTAACTATTCATGTGCAAGAAATATGCTAAGTGTATGTGCGAATTCAAACAGTATGTGTATCGATCATTACAAGCAGGGTTCATTTACTAGTTGCAAAAACAAAACAAATAACTTTTTGTTCTAAGCCTGCAGAAATGAAACTTTTTCGCCCCCTTCTGGATGTTAAGTATGTGAAGCAAGAAAAATGCACAACCATGGAGAAGTTCTATTAATCTGTTATGCCAAAAATCATTGAATATTCTTGGGATAACTTTTATTTGATGATATAAGCCAAACATCCTGGAATCATTAAATAAAAAGTGGTGGCTCAAAATTGAACAGCTACCATCTTTGTCTTTCATGGATCTTTAAGCTAAAAAATCTGAAGAATCAATCTGCTCTGTTTGATGGCAAAACAGTGAAACTACATTCCCAAATGCGAGTACTCTTCCAAAAATGGTATGTTACTTGCTAACACTGAACTCAAACAAATTCATTTAAGCTCC